GGCCAGATACTCGTTGGGACAGCCCCATGGTTGCCATGGCAGACATGAAGTCCTGAGCCGCTCCCGACGGAGCGGCCTCGACATGGACATTGAAGTCCCCCAGCACAAGCATCCGTTGGGACTCCAATGTCAGGTCCAAGACCACCCCCGCTAGCTCAGGCAGGGAGACTGTAGTGCAGCGAGGTGGATGGTACACTAACAGAATCCCTATTCTGTCCCGGTCACCCACCCTCAGATGGACACATTCAAAATTTGTTGACTGCGGGATGGGGGCCCTGGTCAGAGGGATGGAATCTCTATAGACCACTGCAACCCCGCCTCCCCGTCCTCCGGATCTCGGCTGGTGCTGTACAGAGAAACCTGGCGGGCAAAGCTGGGTCAAATTTACATCTCCAGCTTCGTCCAGCCAGGTCTCCGTGATGCACGCCAGATCTGCCCGTTCATCCAGGATTAAATCCTGGATGAAGGTTGTTTTACCATTGACAGATCTAGCGTTTAACAGCACCACCTTCAATCCGGAAGAACCGCCATCCTGGTTACACCAACTTACCATATCAGGAGATCGATTTGGAATTACTAGTGTTGTACCACAATCCCTAGGCCGAATTAAAGGTCTCCCTTTCCCGTATCTCCCCTTCCCCACCACAACTTCTATGGGGGCCTCTCGGCCGACGGAACACCCTCCCTCCTCCATGACGCCTTCAACAGCCATAGTTTCAACCCATGATTCACTATTGATTATTTGATATGTTGCAGATTCAATTCGCCATAGCTTTCCCTTCCATTCATTTCCCACTCCAGCTTTGTTATTTGTGGGACTCTCTAGTCTACTCCACTCCCTTTCTCTACCCCAATTAATTAGTAACACGATTAACAAGTACCAGGGAATGGGTAGTGACATGGATGGTAGCTGTTAACACTGTCAATGGAATTTACACAAGGTTCTTAAAATGCAGGCAAGATAATTGTATCGGCATACAAGATGGTGTAAATAGTTAAAGTGCAATAGCTTTATCAAGTTGGCTCTAAAGTGCTAGAATAAAGTGCGTCATGGAGGAATTGATGCTTCAAGTGCTAGATGGTTGAATCAATGAATTAAAGTGCTAAGGCTGAACGGGTTAGTGGACTAGTTGATACAAAGATAGTAAATTAAAGTGCTAGTAAATAAAAGTGCTGGACTTATACAGGGTAGCCGTACCCTTCACTTACTAACAGTGCACTGGTTAGTTCTTATATTCTCTGTTCAGGCCTTGGGTATGGTTGTTGTTGTTGTTACAATTTAAACCCCCCCCCCACCTCTCGATAGTTAGAGTTGCAGCCCCAGAGATGTAGTATGGAGCTGCTGGGGTGGGCGGCAATTAGCGATGTAGATCAAGTAACAAAATAGACAACACAGTCCTTCCAACGTTGAATTAACAGGAGGGTCAACACAGAGCACAATGAAGGATGGTCGGTACAATCAAAGATGGTCAACACAGAATGGGTAAGAGATGGTCCACACAATCAAAGAGGTCAACACAGACGAAAAAGAGATGGTCAGCACAATCTTTTGGAATTGGAAACAACGAGATGTTAGCATAAACCGGGACAAAAGATGGTCAACACAGTCCTTCCAGAGTTGAAAAATAATAGACGCGATGATGGGCGTCTTGTATGATGGCGGCAGAATTAGGCAATGTCCAGAGATGGTAAACGCCACAGGGTGGAGGCAAGGTAGTAGTTGCCAGTGGCTGAGTCTATTGTCTGTTGTCAACTGGGGGAAGAAACCACTTCCAGGGCCTGCTGGTAGGCCTGAGCCAGAGCGTTGGAAGGGCTGGCCGGGGCACTGGGAGAGCAGTCCGCGTCTCAAAATGGCGCCACGGGGTAGCCACGCCGCCGCCCAGCCGAAGCAACCGGCAGCGAGGCCCACAACCCGCCGACCCGGGACGCAACCCAAAGCAGCAGAAGACCCGATGGAGGCCGAGGGGCCCAGGAACCAGGCAGCCCGAAGCAGCAGCGCCGGCAGTTGGGCAGCCAGCCAGGACCAAGGTACAGGTTCACCGCAGCCGCTAGGCCAGTCCATGCCCCAAACCCAAGCAGAGGGGGAGCGAGACGGCACCCAACAGCCCCCAGCCGCCTGCCCGAGTAGCCGCAGCGCCTCCTGTCCCGCCAACAGCGACGGCGCCCGCAGGTAGATGACGATGGGTTGTAGTGGCTAAAATTCGGGAGGGGCCCACAATGGCTGGGTAGATCCTTCTCTCCTCCCCTGGGACAGCAGGAGGAGGGGGCGCGCAACAAAGGGAGGCCTAGCGGCTTTTTTTCACTCCCCACCCTGGGGCGGTGGGTGGGGAGGCTACACAGCCCTTCGCGGTGCTTGGCGGATGGCTGGTAATTGGCCGCGGTGGAATGGCTGGTAATCGGCCGCGGTGGAATGGCTGGTAATCGGCCGCGATGGAATGGCGGCGGCGGTGCTCAGCTGGCCGCTTCCCTTCGGAGCCCTGGTGTTTCTGGAGTAGAACAACTACTTCCAGAGTAAAGACCGTCCAATGAAACAGGAAATAACACTTTCAAACCAGGAACAGATTTTCTTTATTATTTAAAAAAAAACGTTTTTAATAAAAACTTTGAAAATTCGTCAAAAATCCATGGATAAGTCAAAGGTTATGAAATTTGCTACGCTAACAGTGGTCTATGTGTTCTACTACTGTAGCAAATTTCATCAAGATTGGTGTAAAAATGAGGGAGGGAGAATCCCCTGAAGTTTCCCCAGTGCCAGTGCAGTTTTTTTTCTGTTGTGCACGTGTATTTGCCATTAACAAAGTTTTGGAATTGTAGGTTTTTCCGGGCTATATGGCCATGTTCTGGAGGCAATTTTTCTCCTGACGTTTCGCCTGCATCTATGGCAAGCATCCTCAGAGGTAGTGAGGTCTGTTGGAAGTAGGAAAAATGGGTTTATATATCTGTGGAATGACCAGGGTGAGACAAAGGACTTTTGTCTGCTGGGACTAGATGTGAATGTTTCAGCTGATCACCTTGATTAGCATTCAGTGGCTTGGAAGTGCCCGGGGGGAATCCCTTGTTGAGAGTGATTTTATGTGCCTTCTCTGTGTAGTCTGACATGGTGGTTGTGCAGGAGTCTACCGTGTACCATGCAGCTGTGGACAAGTCTACATAGGGACCACCAAACGCAGCGCCCAGACACGCATCAAGGAACATGAAAGGCACTGCAAACTACTCCAACCAGAGAAATAAGCCATAGCAGAGCACCTGATGAACCAACCTGGACACAGCATATTATTTGAGAACACAGAAGTGGTTATTTGAGAACACAGAACACTCTCACAACCACCATGTCAGACTACACAGAGAAGCCATTGAAATCCACAAGCATGTGGACAATTTCAACAGAAAGGAAGAAACCATGAAAATGAACAAAATCTGGCTACCAGTATTAAAGGACTCAAAAATCACAACAGCAAAACAACAGAGGGGAAACAAACAGGCACATAAAATCACTCTCAACAAGGGATTCCCCCCGGGCACTTCCAAGCCATTGAATGCTAATCAAGGTGATCAGCTGAAACATTCACATCTAGCCCCAGCAGACAAAGGTCCTTTGTCTCACCCTGGTCATTCCACAGATATATAAACCTTTCTTTTGTTCATTCATTCAGTCGTCTCCGACTCTTCGTGACCTCATGGACCAGCCCACGCCAGAGCTCCCTGTCGGCCGTCACCACCCCCAGCTCCTTCAAGGTCAGTCCAGTCACTTCAAGAATGCCATCCATCCATCTTGCCCTTGGTCGGCCCCTCTTCCTTTTACCTTCCACTTTCCCCAGCATAATTGTCTTCTCTAGGCTTTCCTGTCTCCTCATGATGTGGCCAAAGTACTTCAACTTTGTCTCTATGATCCTTCCCTCCAATGAGCGGCGGCTTATTTCCTGGAGGATGGACTGGTTGGATCTTCTCAAACCCACAAGAACCTAGCTTGTTTTAAGCTCGCTGGAAATTTTCCTTCCTGTAAGGAGGCATTAACCATCACCTTCACCCACTCTGCCAAACCCCCTCTGGCTGATGTGTTCTGCATACAAGTTAAAAAGGTTGGGTGAGAGTAGACAACCCTGCCGCACACCTTTCCTAATCTTGAACCCGTCTGTTGTTCCGTGGTCAGTTTTGACTGTTGCTACTTGGTCCTTGTACAGATTCCTCAGGAGAGAGACAAGGTGACTTGGTATTCCCATACCACCAAGAACTTGCCACAATTTATTATGATCCACACAGTCAAAGGCTTTAGAATAGTCAATGAAGCAGAAGTAGATGTTTTTCTGAAACTCCCTGCCTTTCTCCATTATCCAGCGGATATTGGCAATCTGGTCTCTCGTTCCTCTGCCTTTTCTAAACCCAGCTTGAACATCTGGTAACTCTCGCTCCATGTATTGCTGGAGTCTTCCTTGCAGGATCTTGAGCATTACCTTACTTTATATAAACCCATTTTTCCTACTTCCAACAGACCTCACTACCTCTGAGGATGCTTGCCATAGATGCAGGCGAAACGTCGGGAGAAAAATTGCCTCCAGAACATGGCCATATAGCCCGGAAAAACCTACAACAACCCAGTGATTCCGGCCATGAAAGCCTTCGACAATACAAAGTTTCGGAAGTTTCGAAAAGTTTTGAAATGTTTTTTTTAAAATTCGTAAGTGCCTTTAGAATCGAACCACCAGCACCCCCACCATCCGAAACGAGATTGAACCAATTTTTTCTGGATCAACCAAGCCTACTAGGTAGAGAAGGACTCGGAACTGTGCCAAGAAAAATAATAATACAGGATTTTTTGGAGGCAACATCCTGTTTCTGCCCGACAGTGCCAAAAGCAGAGTGGGCCTGCCTTGAGAGCGACAGGACAGCCCTGCAAGGCTTTCCTGGGCCAGGCGCACGCGAGGTGGGGAGGGGCTTCTGTGGGCTTCCTTCGGCCTTTCCGCGCTGGCTCCTGATTGGAGGAAAGGGGGGGCTTGGCTCCTTCCCCAACAGACACCAGGGAAGCCCACTCAGGAGGGAGGAGGCAAGCCGAGGAACAGCCCCGCCCCCTCCGCAATTGGGAGAGACATATAAGAAGGCGGGCAGGCAGCGTGGGGCTCCGAGCGCTCCCGTCCCGTCATGGGCTTCCCTCCGGGAAAGGGAGGCGAAGGAGAGCCGGAGCGCCCCGCCGCTTCTTCTCTGGGCTCCGGAGGGGCCGCTCAGAGGATGCCCAAGATGCCCCAGCCACTGGAGAGACGGCAAGCGGCGAAAGGTCCTCGGTCTTGGCTCGGGCGCTAACTCCGCTTCCCTTGGAGCGGCGCCGCGGAGCGAGGAGGAGAATGCGCGGTGGCGCCGGGCGGCCCAGGCAGCGCGGGGCTCCGGCCACGAAGGTGCGGGGAAGCTCCTCTCCACGCATCCCGGGAAGAGCCGAGCCTTTCGTGCGGGGAAAGGGGTTTCGAGTGGGCGGAGAGCTGGAAGCGGGAGAGGCGCTCCTGTGCCTTCCGCGGGAGTTGCCGGGCAAGCCTCACTCCCTGCCACGCGCGCCCCTGGGCAGCCCTTAAAGGCACCGGCGCCCTCAGCTTGGCAAGCTTACGTCGGGGGAGAGGAGCCCATCCACGGTGCATGTGAGGGCGCGGGGAGATCTTCGCTTCCAAGGGGGCCCCTTCCTCCTCTGAATTGAGTCCCCAACAGAGCTGACGCTGTAGATCAGGTATGGGCAAACCCAGGCCTTTTCTCAGGACCTCCTCTCCCACCATCCTATCCTTCCTTCCTTCTCTCTTTCCTTCCTCCTTCCCTCCCTCTTTATATTTCCCTTTCACCCTCTCATCCTTCCTTCCTCTCTTTCCTCGCTCCTTCCCTCCCCCTCTTTCTCCTTCCCTTCTACCCTTTCATCCTTCCTTCCTTCTCGCTTTCCTTCCTCCTTCCCTTCCTTCCATCCCTTTTGTCTTTCCTTCCTCCTTCCCTCCCACACTTCTTTCCTCCCTCTTTCTCCTTCCATCCTTCCCCTCCACTCTTTCCTCCTTCATTCCTTTGCTCTTTTCTCCTTCCCTCTCTCCCTCTTTCTCCTTCCTTCTCTTTTGTCTTTACTTACTTCTGTCTTTCCTTCATCCTTCCCTTCCTTCCATCCTTCCCTCCCATCCCTTCATCCTTCCTTCCCTTTTGTCTTTCCTTCCTTCCCCCTCTCCCTCTTTCTCTTCCTTCCTTCCTTCCTTCCTTCCTTCCTTCCTTCCTTCCTTCCTTCCTTCCTTCCCTTTTGTCTTTACTTCCTTCTCTCTTTCCTTCATCCTTTCCTTCCATCTTTCCATCCTTCCTTTCCTTTTATCTCTCCTTCCCTCTCTCCCTCTTTCTTCTTCCTTGCCTTTTGTCTTTACTTCCTTCTCTCTTTCCTTCATCCCTTCCTTCKTRCCTTCCTTCCTTCCTTCCTTCTTTCCCTCCCACCCTTTCATCCTTCCATTTTTGTCTTTCCTTCCTTCTCTCTCCCCCTCTTTCTCCTTCCTTGCCTTTTGTCTTTACTTCCTTCTCTCTTTCCTTCTTCCTTCCTTCCTTCCTTCTTTCTCTCCCACCCTTTCATCCTTCTTTCCCTTTAGTCTTTACTTCCTTCTCTCTTTCCTTTAGCCTTCCCTTCCTTCCTTCCTTCCTTCCTCCCTCCTTCTCTTCCTTCCATCGTTCCACCCTTACATCCTTCCCTTTTGTCTTTCCTTCCTTCCTTCCCTCTCTCCCTATTCCTTCTTCCTTCCTTCCTTCCCTTTTATCTTTCCTTCCTTCCATCCTTCTCTTCTCCCTTCCATCCTTCTCTTTTTCTTCCTCCTTCTTTTCCTTCCTTCCATCCTTCCACCCTTTCATCCTTCCCTTTTGTTTTTCCTTCCTTCCCTTTCTCCCTCGTTCTCCTTCCATTCTTCCCTTCCTCCCTTTCACCCTTCCTTCCATCACTGGGCAACCAGTCCTATTAGCAGGGAGTGCTAGCATGTGGCCCTCAAGTTTGAATGTTTGCCCATGCCTGCTGTAGATGCCAAGACACACTCTCAGCTAGATACATGAAGGTTCTAGTTGCTTGGGAGCCACTATTAAAAATAGGTCTAACAAACGTGTGATGTTCCAAGTACTTTAACTGTGCCTTCATGCTTTTAATTATATCTTTTTTGATATAATGTGCTAGGTTTCATTATATTGTCATATTTCTAGTCTTTAGGTTTCAAATAGTTTCTTGTATTGGGTTGCTGTGTGTTTTCCGGGCTGTATAGCCATGTTCCAGAAGCATTCTCTCCTGACGTTTTGCCCACATCTATGGCAGTCATCCTCAGAGGTTGAGGGGTCTGTTGGAAAGTAGGCAAGTGGGGTTTATATATCCGTGAAATGTCCAGGGTGGGAGAAAGAACTGTTGTCTGCTTGAGGCAAGTGTGAATGGCAAGTGTAAGTTTGCATGGGCAAACTTAGCGTTTAATGGCCTACAGTTTCAAGGTCTGACTGGTTGCTGCCCAGGGGAATCCTTTGTTGGGAAGTGTTAGCTGGCACTGATTGATTCTTGCCTGGAATTCCCCTGCTTTTTGAGTCTTGCTCCTTCTTTCCTGTTCTGATTTTAGAAGTTTTTTTTTAAATACTGGTAACCAGATTTTGTTAATTTTCATGGTTTCCTCCTTTCTCTTGAAATTGTCCACATGCTTGTGGATTTCAATTGCTTCTCTACATAGTCCGACAATACAGTTTCCTATATTGTGTTGTTGAAGGCTTTCATGGCCAGAATCACTGAGTTGCCGTGAGTTTTCCGGGATGTATGGCCATGTTTTCTGTATTGTGTCTACTACCATTCCCTGTTTTAATCCCTTTAAGACGAGAACACTAGAATAATAATAATAATAATAATAATAATAATAATAATAATAATGATGATGATGTAGTTTCTGGTTGCTTGAGAGTTACTATTAAGCAGGCCTAACTAATGTGTGATGTTCTATGTATTTATACTGGCTTTTTGTGCTTTAAATTATATATTTTAGATAGTACTAGCTTTCACTCTTTAAATACAGTATTTATAGGCTTTAGGTTTCAATTTGTTTTCTGTATTTTTACTACTGTTCACTGTTTGATTTCCTTAAGAGGAAAAAGTGGTATATTAATGATGATGATTATTATTATATGATGTATTTTCTGGTTGTTTTAGAGTTGCCATTTAAATAGGTCTTACTAATACCATCCACTATACCATGCCATAACATAAACCAGTGGTTCCCAAACTTTTTTTGACCAGGGACCACTTTGCCCAGGGACCACTCTCCCAACATTAGTACCAAAAGGATTACGAATCAGTTTTTGGTCAACTTTAGATTCTGTTTGATTATTTGGGGTGCTAATTCAGAAAATTGCATTGGATAAACTATGTCAGCTCTAGTTTCTGATACAGAACATAGGCCACCCAGTAGTTGCCATTTGCTTGCCCACAGAAAATGATATTTAATAATCTAAAGCTTTAGACTTAGGTCTTGTGGCCCACCACTGGGCTGCAGCCTACAGGACAGGAACCACTGCCATAAACTCTGTATTAACTAGATATTTGTATTGAAAATGAGCCCCTGGTGGCACAGTGGCTTAAACCTTTGTGCTGGCAGGACTGCTGACCAAAAGGTCGTTGATTCAAATCCAGCAAGCGGGGTGAGCTCCCATCTGTCAGCTCCAGCTTCTCATGCAGGGACATGAGAGAAGCCTCCCACAGGATGATAAAACATCTAGGCATCCCCTGGGCAATGTCCTTGCAGATGGCCTACTCTCTCACACCAGAAGCGACTTGCAGTTTCTCAAATTGAAAAAGAATGGAAACATAGCCATTAAAAGCTTATGATGGCAAATTAAGGCAGGTTTAAAGCAATACAGTGTTATTGTAGTATAATGTATTGTCGAAGGCTTTCATGGCCGGAGTCAATGGGTTGTTGTAGGTTTTTCCGGGCTATATGGCCATGTTCTGGAGGCAATTGTTCTCCTGATGTTTCGCCTGCATCTATGGCAAGCATCCACAGAGGTAGTGAGGTCTATTGGAAGTCAGACTACACAGAGAAGCCATTGAAATCCACAAGCATGTGGACAATTTCAACAGAAAGGAAGAAACCATGAAAATGAACAAAATCTGGCTACCAGTATTAAAGGACTCAAAAATCACAACAGCAAAACAACAGAGAGGAAACAAACAGGCAGATAAAATCACTCTCAACAAGGGATTCCCCCCGGGCACTTCCAAGCCATTGAATGCTAATCAAGGTGATCAGCTGAAACATTCACATCTAGCCCCAGCAGACAAAAGTCCTTTGTCTCACCCTGGCCATTCCACAGATATATAAACCCATTTTTCCTACTTCCAACAGACCTCACTACCTCTGAGGATGCTTGCCATAGATGCAGGCGAAACGTCAGGAGAAAAATTGCCTCCAGAACATGGCCAAATAGCCTGGAAAAACCTATAACCCAGTATAATGCATGTTTAGTTTTATTTAAATTATTTTTTGCCTGTTGCCTGAGACTTCTGGTTGATTAAGTTTTGGTTAACCGAGGGTTCACTGCATTTGCTTGTCGGTTCATAACTGGTGTTGTCCAAGGGAAGAAATTACTCTGCAGAAACAGTCTTGAATTGTCTGCAAATCCAATTGATTCCAGTAGGAAGATTTGTGCCTTGACTTGAGGAAGATTGGGGACAGAAGCAGGGAAGATTTCCTCTGTCTTCTGCAGCAAAATGCCTTGGATCAGCCCAACTTTTGCTTGATTGTAACTTGGGGAATGACATTTGTTTGAGTTTTGCATCTGTTGAAAAACTCTGTCACTTTTATTAAAAAGTTGATATGGGTATATGGGGGGTGGGTGGGCATGTAGGTGGGTACTCAGCTAGCTTTTAGATGCCAGTGTGGAGTACTGTATTCAGGAGGGTGATTTATTTTGTGTGTCAGGAGTGACTTGAGAAAATACAAGTTGCTTATGGTGTGAGAGAATTGGCTGTCTGCAAGGACATTGCCCAGGGCCATCCGGATGTTTGATGTTTTACCATCCTGTGGGAGGCTTCTCTCATGTCCCCACATGGAAAGCTAGTGCTGAGATGGGAGCTCACCCTGCTCCCTGGATTCAAATGTCCAGCTTGTCAGTCAGCAGTTCTGTTGGCACAAGGGTTGAACCCATTGCACCGCCAGGGACTCTGAGGAGGGTGATGGACATATGGTGGTAGAATGAAGATTGGCTATACTGCTTGTCACCTTTGCTATAAGTTCAAGGAAGAAGAGAGCCAAAATGTGGCAATTATTAGCAACAATTAAAGAAGTGTGTAATGTCCTTTCCTCAGTTTATCCTGTGATTCTGTACTCCTGGTTTGCGATAACTGTGTCCTATTTCTGACACACTCTGGTAGAAAGCCTGAACT